AGTCCCTTCCCAGATGGAGTTTACATGCTATGGAGTAGATAGAAAAGAAAAAAGTAAATAATCAATAATCTAAAATTCAGGGGTGTCCAACCTGTGAGGGCTGCATGCTGATTTTGTGAGGACTTCTTTTGCCTATCTGCAATATGTGGATATCACAAAAAGTATGCACAGACTTTTTTTTTTTTTTTTGCTAATTAGATTTTGTTAGTGTTTGTGTATTTAATGTAATGGCCCAAGACAACTCTTATTCTTCCAATGTGTAGCAGAGAAAAAAAGAAAAGGTGGAAACCCCTGAAAATTAAGTAACAATTTATTGTTAAAGAAAAGAAGATTTTATTTTGGTGTATGGTAATAACAGAATGCTAATTAAATACACCCTCTTTACATTTCACTCTATGTGACATTTAAGAGACTTACTAATTTCTTTACATGGACACTCTGAGATACCCAGGTTGCACAGTAAGGGCTTAGATCCACAGCAGTCTGATTCCTCCACTAACCCCCTTCCTTCTGCAGTACTGGATGGAACTGTGCTCAATAAATAACGAATTAACTGAAGAACAACCACTTAGAAGGAAAAGTAGAAATTTACTGGTATCAATTAGGATCTTGGCATGCAGGGAGGCAGATGAATATCATTCTGGAAGGTGGGAGGCAGTATAAAAGGCTGTGGGAGTTTGTGTCTAAAAGGAGCCCAGAGGCTTCCTTTTCTTAGAGCGACTAAATAGAATATTTTTCCACTGCAAACAGAGCAGAAGTTTTGATGGAGATTCAGAGGCGAGCACAGATAAGTAGGAAGGTGGCCTGGGCACAAGACTTGACAAAGCCAAGGGAATTCTGATAAGGTCTCATTGGTCAGTGGTTAGCACAGAATGGATGTTTGATAAATATTTTTGGGGGGAAGGGTTTGTTTTGTTTTGAGATGGGGTCTCCCTGGTACCTAGGCTGGTCTAGTCTCAAATTCCTGGGTTCTAATCTCCTGCATAGCTGGGATTGCAAGCGAGCATGAACTGTCTGTCAGGCTTTAAAAAATTGAGACAGCTCAGGTTGGTGCTTTGCACAAGTCTGAGAAACAATACCGCCCCTCCTCAGCAGTGGGAGGAAATTGAGCAGAAAGGCTGAGTGTAGTTCAAAGTTGTTGCTTTGTTTTCTTTTTTTTAAAAAGGAAAGGGCTCGGCTCCTATAGCTCAACCGGCTAAGGCGCCAGCCA